TCAACGGTGAATTAGCCTCTCACTCACTCTCTCTCTCTCTCACACACATACACACACACACACACACACACAGAGTGCAATTACCCATGAGAAGAACCTTCATTCTGGCATTTTATCAAAGCCACAGCCAGCAGTTCAATTTCAAAGTCACAGCTGAGGATACCTCTGAGCAACACTGTTTGGCTTTGTCTATTTGTGCAAAGAGCTACAGTTCTGCCCCCATCCCCCCACCCAAACCCACTCCCCATTTAACGCAGCAATGCTCAAAAAGTTCGTTCCTAAGGCGGGCCTGGAAGCAGCCGGAGAGAAAGGGCATCGTCCTTCAGCTGTTGTACAGAGGCACGACCCTGGCAATCAGCTGCCTGCAAATAGGGCAGCGGGGGGGCCTCGGGAGGGCCTCGTAGCACTTGCTGCACGAACACACGTGCCCGCACTCGAGAAAAACACAGGACCGGCTGTTGCTCAGGCAGATGACGCACGTGCTGGCCACGTCCCCGCCCGCGGCGATGCTCTCCTGCATCTGGCGCAGGCGCCGCTTTTCCCGGCGCCACCTGTACTGTTTGTGCAAAATGAAGGCGAGGAGGGCACAGCTGGCCAGCCCGCAAAGGGCCGTCAAGACCTTCCAGAGCCGGACGCTGGATTCCTGCCGCTGGAGCAGCGAGTCGAAACCCAGGCTGCTGAGGTAGTAGTGCATGCCCTGCTTGGGCGGCTGCAGCTTGATGGTGCTGCTGTCGAGGACCAGCTCCCCGACCCCAGTGAGCACCGCCCCGACCTTCAGCATCTCCTCCGTCTCCTTGATGCCTTTGGGCCGCTCTCCACTGATGTAGTGGCCAATCACGTCGGTGAAGGACTGCACGGAGGGGTGGAATTTCTCATAGACGGTCTCCAGGCTGAGCTCAGCAGCATCCAGAGGCTTTAATACCCTCACCGCAACGTCGGGCCCTCCCCCTCTCTCCTGGGGCACCAGATCAAAAGTGACCGTGTTTGTCCTCTGGTGGATGATCTTTTCGTAGTCATTCCTGGGGAAATTTCGTCCAGGGACAGAATCAAAAACACTGTGCTTTAGTGGCAGCCATCTCTGTGCAAACAGAGCCTCTTTTTCTCTTTCCTTCCCTTTCTCCTTTTATGTTGTACTCTACTATAAACACGCAGTGGCAAACTGAGTGCCCTTAAGAAAAGTCCTCTAGAAACCTCGCTGTTGGACTACAGCTCCCATCATCCCTGAACGTCTGGAGCTGATTGCTTAAGGTAGGGATGTCATCCGAAGTGGGAAAGACACTTCAGATCTGCAGTTTTCATTCAGCAGCCCCCCAAAGGAGCTGGGCCTTTTCCCAGTCTCACATCATAGCCTGGCACTGGATCCCAAGTCTCAGATCTGAACGCCGCACACCATGAGGGAAAAGCAAAACCAAGGAATGCTGTGCAACCCAAAGGCCAGACAGCTATTTAAGACCGACAAAATTTACTGTGGCAGACGTTATTGTGATCTGAAATCTATTTCATTAGGTATTAACAACACACAGGCATAATAGAAACATTCAGAATGCAGTCGAACACCAATAAATTAAAAAACAAGCTATGGACAACATGAAATGTATACTAATTCAGATCAGAAAACTGATAAAAAGAGAAACACTGAGATATTTCAGTACCTAACTTAGACCACAACACTTAGAATTTAAGCAAGGAATGCTAAGCTGAACATTGTGATCATTTACATATAGTGCCTTTATAAAGAAATTTCCTCTGAATATTTTTATAGTTCTTACGACCATAAATAAATTAACCTCTGATAAATCATAAAAATGATAGATTGGTCCATGGCTCCCACAGCACCTGCAAATAACATCTGTGAACCTCCAAAACTTTCTCTCAAAAATAAAACAACTGAATTTCACAAAATCTTGGCGTTCTCATGTGGTACCTTACAAGATTTCAGGCTACAATGCAAAATTACACTGTTGTGGTTCTCACCCAACGTTGCATAGAAATTAGAATACATTAAAAGTGAACTTTTGTTTAATGCAGAATACATTAAAACTGAACTAAACTACACGCTTGAAAATGCTGCCAATCGTGGATCTGGACCAAAAGGCAAGACTAACCAATGTTTATGAGAAATAAAACCATTCCCCCAGTTTGCCCAGAGAAGTCACTCACTCGCCCTCTGTTCCCAATTCCAAAATGAGGTGCGGAAGGACTTACCAGAGGTGGGTGGTTCGGTTCCACACCATCTTGTGCTCCTGAAGGGTCAGCCTCTGAACCACCCCCTTGCAGCTCTCCACAAACTGGCTGTTGAGCGTTTCCTTAACGGAGCGCACGACACCTTGTCAGACAAGAAAGGCGGGGCAGTGATCAGTAACTGACCAATAACTGAAAGAGCAAGTTATCCATGTACAGAAGCAAACAATGATCGATGGATTGCAGATCATGTGCGGACCAACGTCCAGAATTCTCAGGCTGGGGGACACGGCTAAGATGACTGAGAGTTGCAGCCCCCCGCATCTGGAGGAGGGGGCCCAGGATGGGGAATGACCAGCACCCTCCACGATGGTCAAGCACTTGCAGACGCATTTTGTGAATGCTTAACAGTGGCGTCCCTCATGAAAGATGGGGCAGGCTCTGAAGGCGGAAACGCATATCGACCCATGGCAACCCCCAGGGGGTCACTCATGCCTACCTTCTATCACCGCGTAGGGGACGCATTTCCCTGGTGCTTCCATGAGAATGTTCTTCAAATCCTGGTCTAGGGTGACTTTTTTAGCACCCTGGGGAAGCAAGGGGAAAAACTCACTTCGTAAGAGCACTTTTGAATCACTAGCAAGGAGATTAGCTAGGTTTTCAAACATCCCCCAAACATACACTTCTCTGGCAAATTGCGAGGCAGAATAAAACATGAAAATCGGCCAAAGAATGCTAATGACTAGCAAAGATAATCAACTGCAGAGGATATGTACAAATAAATCCCCACCACCGAGAAGGCCCCCTCTTTACAGCCATCCACCTAAGTGCATTTGGCAAGACAACTTCTGAGCATGAACAAAATATTCAGAGTGGGCCTCCTTTACAGCCCGGCCCCCCAGGCACCACAGATACAAATGAATGCTGGCACAGATTGTGCTTTGCCGAGCACCTTTTCTGGGTTAGTCTCCATGTGTTTTAAACCATTTCCGCAACTGACTTCCTTCCTTTTCTTTCGGGTGACTTCACATTTTGGAGATTCCCAATGTAAACCAAAGGCTCTACTACCTATAAATCCCATTTCAAACCACTTCTGTAGCTGCTCCGGAAAGTTGGAGCCAAGAAGCAGGGCAGATATTACAAAAATAAACGCACGGATCTCAAAAGCTGTCTTTAACCCAGGGTCTAAACAGCGACTAACCTTCAGACCATCAACAACTTTCGACTTATGTCTATAAACGGCATAGAGAATTGCGGTAACAGCCGAACTGGTTGCCAGAAGGATAACTTGGCCGGTGGAGGGGTGACTGGTGGAATCCATGGCGACAGCTCAAGGATAGCTTCCCTGCAATAGGAAAAGAGAAGGGTTAATTCGGCTTTCCTTGTTCGTCGGCACTGCCTCATCCTATCCATCCTCCGTCATTAGCCAGGATGCAATCAACGTGCGAGCAATCTCACCACTACCGGCAATTCTGAGATATTTCTGGAATGGTCAGAAGGGGATGTGGTGAGCCCCAGAGGCCCTCTGCTCACACCAGCTGCCGACCTCCCTCTCTTCCGCCTCTCAGGGGCTCGTGCTCCCCAGCCTCTCCCAGCCAGGCCTCTGAGCGCTTTGCAGAAAGAGCCCACCCAAACTGGCCTGGCCAGTTTTTTAGCATATTTTAATTAACTAATTAATATTTATCTATTTTAATTGACGTCCATTCGCCCAGAGCTGACTCTGCCCGAGACGCGGCGGAGCCTCTGAGGAAGCGGAACCAGGGCTTTTGGGGAGGGCG